CTAATATTTTTAACAACTACAGTGGCTTGTACTAATATGTTAAAATATTTATAAATTGCAATTAGTATGTTTAAAAAGATTTTGTTAAAATTTTTAAACCCAATTGGTTCGTGTCCTTTTTATTTCTTCCCTTTGAAGGAAGCCAAGTGTCTGCCGCCTTGTGGTTCTGTTGTTTGCAGAATAGGATTCCTTTGTGTTGTCCTGTTGATGTTCAAGGAATGCTGAAACAAATCAAAAAGTGCAGGTGTTCTTATCTACCATATGTGGCCTTTACATAACATTTTCCTTTTTCGTACATTCTGTCAGGCAGGCTGGATGCGTTGATAGTAAAATGACTCATTTGTGTTGAGTCTGAGTTCTAGATGTTGCTGTTTTTTGCAGCCTGTAGTAATTTGAAGATGCCATGAGTTCACTACTTCTCAGAGACAGCCTTCCTTCTCTGCTTTTAAGCTATAGGTTATGAGTTGTTCAGTGATAAGCTAATGCACAGTGTAACCAGTGAAATGGTTAATCAAACTATGTAATGTGGGTACTTTTAGGGTCTATGGATAGCACAGTCTGTATAACGACTGGCTGTGGGCTGGGCAACCGAGGTGTCAGAGTTCAAGTCTCTGTAGGATCAAGAATTTTCTTTTCTGCCTGTCATCCAGACTGGCTCTGGGGTCTGCCCAACCTCCTATCCAATGGTTACCGGAGGCTCTTTCCCCAAGGTTAAAGCAACTGGGGTAGGAAGCTGACTACTCACCTGCAGCTAGAGTCTCCACTCCCCCATATGCTTTTATGGTGTAGTGGTTAATTAGTTAAGCACAGGGACAACCTTTTTTACCAGTTATTAATATATGTAATTTATTCTGCAGGCTTTGCTAAAAGTTTGTTTATAACAAAGCTAAAACTTTTGAGTGAAGGTCTTGTAACAGAAGCTCAAGAAACAGAAAATATAGTTGGAGATTTCTTTTCATCAGATGATGACAAGGTAACTGATGAAGTAAAGGCAGTGCTGATTAAGGAGAAATTGGATGAGTACTACCAAAATATAAAGAAAGGTTAGTTTCTGTATAATTGTAGTCTGTGATTGCTGAAGAAGAATAAGAAATGGCTTACTATTATATCTAACAGTAAACTTTGTTATTGCACACTTGGTAAGTGCTGTGGTAAGTCAAATCCATGAGTAATGAACTTTTCATCATTTGGAGGAACATATGTTTGAGACATCTGTACAGAAAAGCCACTTGACGCATGCATGCCTGCAAAACCACCTCCTCTCTCTCTCTCTCTCTCTCAACAATCTTCACTGCAGCTTCACAGGTTATTGCTTGAATCACCACATAGTCTCTACTTTCATGTAAATTCATTGACATGTTATGGCCACACAGGGCCACGATCAGGTATATTTAATGATTTGTGTACATTTTTATACTGTACTAGCTGTACCCGGCCACGCGTTGCTGTGGCTCAGTCAGATGCCCATTCTTCCCAAGTTTGATTTGCAATTAGTTGATGCATTGCTTCTGCTCCGTGAGTATGACGACCTAAACTTGATCTTCTGTGAGGCATTATTTGGATGAACTAAAGCAGATCGATTGCACCGAAGAAGAAGAAAGAAAGTTATAACAAAAACATATGAAATTGCAAAACTTTATAAAAGGAAAGAACACGAACTGGAAAACAAAAAGAAACAAAAAAAAAATAAAATAAAAAATACTGACGAAATATTTCAATTCAAATGCAGATCAATCGACAAAGCTCAATCCCACTGCCAATTGCACTGAAAAATAAGGAGAACAGTTAAGAAAACGAAATGAAAAACAATGAAAAATAAAATATAGTCACGAAATGAACGCTATGGTAAACGACACAGCCCAATTCCAACGCAGTATAACACGAAATAATTAAATCAAAATGAAAATGAATGGAAACTGTTTATATTCAGCGGTAGCTATCCCAAGACTGACTCCCTCGGTGGTTACCTCCAGACTCTCTTTTGTATCCTTCGGCATCTGCCCCGAGACTGACTGCTTCTTGTCCAAGCTGGGCTATTTATACCTCGGCGGTTGCCATACAATGAGCCTTCTGTTGTCTGTCACCTGGGAAACGTTGCCCGTTGATACTAAGATACCTACGCAATGGCCATCTGTTGGGGCTACAGACTCACTTCTTCGGTGGTTATTCCAGACTAACTGGGCGAATGAATTGAACCCCCCTTTTATACCCTTGGCCGCCGCTATGCAAATGATCCATTGTTATTGTTATGCCGTGGTGCCAGGGGGGCGTGGAGGTATCCCACCGCTGCCACCACTGTTATGCCGCTGCTACACCACTGTTACGCCGTGGTGACAGGGGGCGTGGAGGTATCCTGCTCTGTCACCCGGTTTAGTATGCTGCCACCATCTTGTTATGTCAAGAAAACTCTAGTAAACGTATCATTGATTACGTCACGAGTCCTGGCTTAACTCGCAATTCGCCGAAGCTGCGGGAGGGGCTGGAGTCGTCAGGGAAGGGGGTAACACTTAAGGAAATGCTAGGTTGAATTAATATCACAGCTCATGTCTATCCTATTCTATTTCCCTATGTTGCTATATACATACTATATACACACTTTGCCGACGTTCGTCGGTTCGTATTACATTTGATGATGACCCTGTAGCACCACATTAGTTCTATCTCCTGTCACCCCGGTGTCAGGTATTCTACGCCTCTGTAGCTCTTAGTGAACCTAGTCCATCTAGCTTGCATTTTCTCTCTTTGGGGTTGCACTTTAAAATTATCACACTTATTGTTCACGGCTATATGAAGTTGGTTCACTTACTTGAGCTGAAGAAACAGACGCTCGCCATCACCAACCAACGCCCACTCATTGCCATCGCTCTCTCGGCGATAGCCTCCGGCTGAACTCCATGTCACTTAATAATATTAAAAAGTCAAAAGGTTTTTTTTTAATTGATTCCTCTAGGGATTATGTACCCTCTTTTTGCTGATTCGTTGGGTTCCGGGGTGTGTTAGCCTGCCCATTCTGACGTAAATTCGGGTCGGTGTGGCCCACTCATTGGCTGTTTATCGAGAAGGGGTTGACTCTTTTGGGTCTACCGCCTTCTCCGACACAGCTTTTTCCTCCTGCCATAGTGTTTATGACCTACTTCATATGGCTTCTTCCTCAATGTCAGCGTTATTACGCTGTCGTGCTAGCATTCTGATTACTAAACTATAGCCTGTTACACTTCTTTTGCAAACCCAAGCTTCCTGGTACGTTTCATCATTTCTGTTTCTTAATCTAAAAGTCTAGGTACACTTATTCCAAATTTACCCCAAAAAAACATATCTACTTGTACATAAACCTTGTGCCATTACAGTTATAACCGTGGAAACGGTGCTTTTTTGATTCCGCATTTCCTACGCAACGGCCCATTGTTATTGCGTTGTCTCTGTGGGAACGCTCCATGTATTCATCGTTACCGTGGAGATTCGATGTTCTCGACACAACAGCTCACTGTTGGGAATACAGTATCGCTATTGTTACTTCCTATGCGACGGTCTGTTCTAGCGTTTCCATAGAAGTGACTCTTCTGAATTCCAAACACGTTACAACAGATGGCAATGTTTGTCAAAAGACGCATGTTTTTACCTGTCACAGGTGTGACATCTATATAATAGGTATATAAAAACACGCGTATTCGTATGCGACGTATCAAAATTTCAAAGCAATCAGTGAAGAACTTTCGGAGATTTAAGATCTGGAACAAATGAACATTTACATTTTTATTTATATAGATTATAGTATTATACATTGACTACATAGTTGACACACGCTTGTGACAGAAACACAGGTAACCAAGATACTGTCCGTGAAAATGGAACACAAGAAAGAAGAATGCCACGACATGCAGTACACCATCTTGAGAAGTTTCTAAAACAATATTTTATATTCAATTTTAACATATACCAAATTGATTTAACCTTTTAAAGCCCAATGGTTCTATGTGTACAACCTGCTGTAACATTCTAACACACTGCATTCTGCCCATGAAATACATTTGTCCGCTCCATATGGTTCTTGCAGTAAACAGTGATTGTTTCCCTAAACAGCATTAACCAATTGATTTTTTAATTTGAGAGGTAATGTGTTTCCTGCAAGCTATGAACTTAATTTTTATATATTAGAATAAATCAAGTCTTTATGGAGTTAAATAATAAACTTTATGGATGTGCAGCTCTCTTGGACTGTATAAAGCCATAATAGAATAATACCAGTTTATGAAAATCAACATGTTTCATCCCTCTGTGGATGAAACATGTTGAATTTATATGAAAGCATGGACTAGGGGATAATTTAACCAGTAACCTGTGAAGCTGCATTGAAGACTGTACTGTGTGTGCATACGTGCGTTTGTGTATGTGTCAAGTGATCAACTAATTAACTAATGCAGCAGGGTGCTTAAATTCGGTGCTACAGAAAACAACTATGTCATATCATTCCTTTTTTAAAGTACAGTCACTAATGGTACACAAATATTGCAGATATTGTGTGGACCTGCGTTAAACTGTGTATAACATCTGCATATATTTTGTACCGCATTCACCCCATGTGTATCCAAATTTGGAACATAGAAACCAAACCAAGATGCAGATTGTGAGTGAGTGTTTTGTAGATTTGGGATAGTGGCTTTCATATTTTTTCTGAAGCAGAATTCTTATGGTAATTTCAAGCCCTATACTCTTGGGAGCGGAAGGAAAAATTTCACCTTTTATTTTTGGTAACTCAGTGAATCATGAATTTGAAAGAGCATGGAATAAAGTGGTTGTGATCTAATTTAAGGTAGTATCTGAACATTTGCATGGAGGGACATAGGAATACTATGAAAGTCCTCAGGATATCCAGTGTCCTGTCCTGATTTGAACTGGGCACTTCCCAGATACAAGTCAGAAATATTACTGCTTGAGCTAGATTTCCAGAATAATTCCATATGAACACTTATTATGGTGACAGTATGTAAATTGCTGCTTCAGATAAATTTAATGAATGCAAGAAAATCCATGAATATTCATTACAGAAGTGCTTTAAGCACTGCGGTAATGAAAAATAAATGTTAAACGAGGAAATACAAACAAAAAAATGGAAATATATATGACTGTAGGAAGTTTATTACAAATTCTCAGATATGTCTTCTTTTTAATGGTGGAAAGGAAAGTGTGAATTAATACTGTTTTCTTTTTTCCAATGGTTAAATAAATTATTGTTTTCAGAGAGAAGTACATATACGACATCCCTGAAGACAAAATTTGTGGAATCCTTAATGAATGATCTTCTTGGTGCAATGGAAAATTGTGTGCTGGATGTCAAGGAGTGTTTAAATTGTAAAGATCAATTGAAGAAAATTACATCAGTTCAAAATAAACTAATGACTACAGTCTATAAATCTGATGAAGCATCTGAGTAAGTGTTTAGATTAGTAATTACGAGTATTTTGGTTGGAATCATTCTGAGCTGCACGGACAAAAGTCTATAACAACATAATTTATTAAACATGATTCAGCCGGTCACGGTAGCCGAGCGGTCTAAGGCATGCACTGTCTTCGCTCGCTCTGAAGCCGGGATCGTGGGTTCGAATCCTACTCAGGGCATGGATGTTTGTGCGCGTTCTTCTGTGTTTGTCTACAGGCAGAGGCCTTGCGATGAGCTGATCACTTGCCAAAGGAGTCCTACCGTATGTGTAACATCTAGAAAAACCGAAGTGAACAGAGTTCATGGAGGTAGGCCTAGGCCCACTGGGGCTGTAGTGCCAAGGAAAGAAAGAAACATGATTGAAGCCTGGCATAGTGAGATTTATTCATTATGACTAGAATTTTACTGATTGAAGTGAATATTATGCATTTGATAATCAAATATTATTTTCTTGGAGATTCTAAAGGTTCTGACGATGGTGGATGACAGAAAGAAATACTGGGGTTTTGGACTTTTTCCATTGTCTGGAATTTTAGGTAATAGAGGACATGACATTTTAGAAACTGGATCTGTGGTCCGTTTTGTTCATACTTCTCATTAGTTTTGTGTTATGGTTCAGTGAAGTCTTGAGTTCAAATTTAATGGAAGAGTATTAGTTGTGAATGTCAGACTGCATGTAATATGAGGTTCTGAGGTTAGTTAATTGCATATTGTATTGTAGCTAGAGCAAAAGTGTCTGGTGTGTCTGATTACTTCCTGAGACTGAATATTTCTGTTAGTTTTGTCAGAAGGGCTGTTTCAAGCAAGCAAGCAAGTAAATATGCAGAGGTTTAACTGCAGACTAGTAAAACATTGTTTTTCATTGGAAAATAATTGCTGTATAAGGTAGAACTTGTGTTTCCATTGAATGGTAACTTGTAATAGTATTACTTCAGACACTATTTTAATACAGTGCATAGTTTTCCTTTGTTTAATATTTGTATGTGTATATTGCACTGTTGTATTTGCTGAGGTTCTCAGTAATGTAAAGTTGCTCTCGCCTCACAAAAACTGACATTTCTCATTTCAGAGGAGCAAAACCTGTTGGAGAAAATAAAGGGAAAATAGTTTTGACTGTAATCTTGCCTGATGAATCAAGGTATGTGTAACTGAACATTGTTTCTGGTTGTGGTATATTTTGTTAGTCTGTACAGCACTTGAAATATTATTAAAATTGTCAGGTTCTTCGAGGCATGTGGCAGTGTAGTTGGTTGAGGCACTATGCTACAAGCCTGAAGGTCACAGGTTCGATTCCCAATGTCATTGGATTTTTCAGTTGATCTAACCCTTTCAACTGCATTATGGCCTGGTGTTCGACTCAGCCCCTAACAGAAATGAGTACCAGGAATATTCCTGGGGGTAGAGGGCGGCCACCACATAAGGCTGACATCTTCGCTGCCATCTGTGAGCAGATTGTCTAGAAAATGTGGGAGCCTCGACATCTCACAACCCTATCAGCCTCCATGGCTTGTTACAGGGATAGCTTTACCTTTTACCTTTACCATGTCAGTTTTTTTTTTTCTAGATGCAAGAGTATTAATCATATTTTTTTTTTTATTCTCATACTAGAATAGAATATATGAGGGGTAGGCCTTCTCGGCCCTTGCACTGCGACCTTAGATCTATTGTGCTTCCCCTTTTTTAACTATTCCCTCACAAACCCCCACGCTTCGGATGAAGCGCTGGATCTTGGACGTGGGGGTGTCAAAATAGTCACTTGGTTCCATGAAGTACTGGCCCAAGTGACATAATCTTAAATAAGCTAATGCCTCACATACACACAGGACGTGTGTGGCTGTTTCATCTTCTCTCTGACACCTCTCACAGGTGGGACTATTACTCAGTCCCAGTTTGAACAGGTGTCCTTTGAGGTGACAGTGTCCTGTAAGTAGTCTTACCACCCATCGTAGCTGGTTCCTGTTGAGCTTCAACAGTTCCTTCGCTCTTTTAGCAGAAGGTCCTCGTATGAGTCCCTTTGCTTGCCTGAGTCCAGTTAAGGATTCCCAGTATTCCTTGTGTTTCATGTTAGTCCAGTCCCTGATTGCCTGTTTGGCAACTCCTAGAGAGATGCCACAGGCTGGTTCAGGTCCTATGAACGGGTGTTCAGCTCCAATTTTAGCTAATTGGTCTGCTGCTTCATATCCAGCAATACCTTCATGCCCCAGCACCCATATCAGTTGTACCGTTGTGTTTGGCCAGTTCCATGAGGGTTTAGTGGCAATCCCAGACGAATTTTGAATTAATCTGGTGTTTGTCAAGTGCTTTAAGTGCAGCTTGGCTGTCAGATAGAATGCAGATATTCCTATTTCTATAGTTCCTATCTAAATTCTCCATAATACATGCTTTAATGGCATATACTTCTGCCTGGAATACTGTCGTGTACCGTCCAAGGCGGAAACTAAGTATCCGCCTTGTGCCATGGCAGTACACACCAGCTCCAGTGCCCTTATTTGTCTTGGAACCATCTGTATACTAGATCAGTCCCACTTTTCTGTCTGGCTGAAACCCGTTTTCCCATTCACTCCTGTCAGGAAATGTGACCGTGAAGGGTTTTTCATATACATGTCTCAGTATCATGTTGTCAGACCCCATTTGCAATATGGGTTGATTTTTCATGTCCTGAGTCATGTCTGCATGACCGAAACCATCAGATCTAGGTTTCCATTGTCCATTGCACCGGAGACGGTAAATTCCTGCCTTGGCCTCCGCATCCAACTGTATATGCAGTGGGGGGAGTCCAAGAAGTATCTCCAGTGCAGCTGTTTGAGATGTTCGAAATGCTCCTGTTATACCTAAGCAAGCCAACCTTTGCAATTTGCCAAGTTCTGTCTTGCTAGTCTTGAATTTAACTCTGGGCCACCATACTGTGACACCATAAGTAATTATGGGTCTCACAACCGCACAACCAATGTACAACGTGTGGCTGTAGTCCCCAAGTTTTACCAAACATGCTTCTGCATGTCCAAAAAGCCTTATAGGCTTTGTTAATAACTTTGTCCAGCTGCTTTTTCCATGTCAGTCCCTTGTCTAATACTAGTCCAAGGTAC